CACTGCTGAGGGGAGCAGCGGGCGGGTCAGGAGAGGTCTGCCACGCCATGTGGTCACCTCCCGGGCAGGTGGGAATCGAACTCATGCGGAAGCGGCTTTAGATTCTCAGTGCTGTGCTTTAACCCGCTGCGCCACCAGGGAGGGCCCTAAACTATTATTTTTTAAAACTCTGTTGCATTTTCTATGTAGTAAATTTTACTAATTTTTATGTATTTTGATGGGTGATTATTTCTGATTCTTAGAATAATCATATGTTCTGGAGAGTCAGAACCAGATGATTTTACTCATATGTGGGATGTAGAAAAATTAAAAACGAAGCAGACCAAACCAAAATAAAATAAATCCTAGAAATCTTACTGCAGAACTGAGGCTACAAGAAAGTAATGGTGGGATAGTGACAAAATGTTCAGGGGCCGCAGTGGACTGTTAAGGAGGATTGGGGTGCCTTGGTTGGGGTCGTGCTGTGACAGCATCCACCTGAAGAGGTTTGAGCCTACATCTCTGAGTAATATGCAGTGTCATATCTCAGTAAAAAAAATATAATTACAAAAACTATCTGAAGAGAAAAATTTAAATTTTTTAATAAATTTATTTAAAATATGTTAATTGTTTTAAGAGTGATCATAAAAATAATTCTGTCATATTTTTTATAACTAAAATTATTATATAGACAAAGTTTTATTAAAACTATACAAAAACTTTTGATTGTACCAGTTCTGCTCCATTCTTCAATGGGTAGATTATTTTCGGTTTATTATTATTATAAATAATTTGAAATTAATATATTCATGAAAGTTTTTCCTTATTGTATTTCCTTTTATTTAGTATCTAATGATTATAGTCTACATTTACTTTATGCTATTTATTCTATTTTTATTCTTACCTATTATGATTTATTATTTTATAATATTACTATATGTTTTTTAACTATTTCTTTTGCTTCTTTATTGACTGATTTGTGTTGTGGTAGCTGTGTGTAAGATAAATTGTCACAATTTCCAAATCTGAAATTTTTAGAGTAATTAGAGTTTCAGAATCAAACAGGCAGTCATCTTGTTTATTTCATGTTTAAAATAGCCTAAAGAGGGAGCTCTGAGTCTTGTGTTTTTCTGATGATTCTTCAGTGAAAAGAAAGCAAAGTACATTTATCATTATACCATGAGGTCTGGACATCTTATCACTTCTGACCTATAGTATCAAAAGTATTAATTTTTTAGAGGACGGAAAGTGTCCTTTACTGACGACTAAGTTGAATAAAATCATGTTTCAAATCTTTTAGTTGTTCACCCTACTAGTTAAAAAAAAAAAAACTCCATTTACTTATAAACTATTCACATTATCATCTCAAATATATTATGTGCAGTAAAATACAGCAAGAAATAAGGTAAAATCTGATATAAAAGGAAATTTAAGGTTAAATACTTTCTTCTGATATCCCATTAAAATTATTGTGGGAGTCGCTGACATGCATATTTTACCTTTTTTGAGATAAATGGATTAAATACAACTGAATGAGGACAAAGTATTGAGCTAGTAATATTATGGTACCTGACTATATCTGTCTCAAATATATATAGTTGGTTCAATATATTAAAAGATATTTTCCCTGGGAAGCAGTAAAAATTCCTTGAATGACTGATATTTACATATAACTTATGTCACATATCTTTCCAGAGGCATGTAGAGATGTAATTGATAAAGCTAACAAAAATATAATGGAACAAATGTATCAAAGATAAAAGGAGAATAAAAGATACTGATACCTGACAGTCAGGTGAAACACTGCAGGAGCTAGAGACAAATCAGTCAGTGGTGTAAATCCTTCGAAAATAATAAACTTTTCCAAACAATTCAAGTAAGAGGGTTGACTCAGGTTCTGTTTATATATCATATAATTCATAGATTCATACACGTTTCTGTGTGTCTGTGTTTATATGCTGCATTCTGTTCTGGGGGCATTTCTCTAGAATCACGTTGGATAGAAGCACAAGAAGCAAAAAAAAAAAACATTAGTCTTGGTATTACTTAAAAGTGGTTGGGAACATGAGAACAACTTTTATGATGAGACATTCTCTCCACCTACTAGCCCTAGAAAATAAACATCAAGGTAATGATAAGTGAATACACTATATCTTCTTCAGTTATATTATTGTTAAGTTAAAAGCAAATATTATTTAAATAACTATAGTGATGATAATCAAAGTTTAATTTTCATGAAATGAGCCTTATTGTTTTCATGATTTTCTTAATGAAAACAAAGTGGCTTTGAATATCTTAATGAAAAGGAGAAAACACTATTAATTAAGGTTAATGCTTAAGAGGTGATTATTCTTGATACAAGATATTTTATGTGAATAATTGGAATATGTTAGTCTTTACTAAAATATTTTAAAATAAGCTTATTTTAAGGATATTTTCCCATTTTTGTGTATTTTTTAGAGGCACAAATGTTAGTTTTCATAAATAATCTGTGAACATAAACCTGCATTCAAAATATATGTCATCTATTATGTAGTGATGTGTTTTTTTCTGGGTAATAACCCTAATGCATAAAATCAGAGAGTAGTGAAGAATTTATGTACTATGTATTTGTGTATTATTGTTGTGACAAAACATTATTTTCAAGGTGAATTTTTATAATATAAAATACTTTTTCAATGTATATTTCTTTTCTAAACAATACCTAGTAATTAGTTATGATGTTTTGATCCTTTTCCTTTAGGACAGCTATTCAAATGTGTTTCACCAGCATGTTGTTGAGTTCACTAAGAGTAGTATATTGTTTCAAAGATAAACTTGGTATACTGGAAAAATCCTTCATTCTTAATTAAAAATTTTAATTATGGTTCTCCCTGGTGGCTCAATATATTAGGACACAGCACTGCAAGCTGGCCGCAGACTCTTCAGTGCGAGTTCCATCCCTGTTCCAGAGGTGATCAACTTGACATGGCAAACCTCTCCTGAGCCTCCCACTGCTCCCCTCAGCAGTGTACTTCATCAGTCTGTCTGCCTGTTCCCCACTCTGCCTCTGGTGAAGCCTCTTACTGCCCCTGCACCTCTGGCTTGTACCCCAGTTCTGTATGCATAAATAAAAAAAATTATAGAATTTTTTTATCTTCAGGGTAGTTGTGGAAGATTATTTTAAGAAGTAAACTGATAGACCATATCTGGTCTTAAGAGAAAAATAATGTTTTAATTTTTTTATTCTTAATTGCTGTTGCAAATATACTGTTAATTATCTGTTACAAAAGGGAAGTAATTTGTGATGATAAGTAGAACTAATAAATGTGGGTGCAGTCTTCAGGTGAACTATAGATTTACAGGCAAGTCTCTTATGCTCACACACACAGACACACACTTTAGCTCTTCAGAATTAGGTGAAACACCCCATTTATTTTTGGAGATGCAGAAGTTTTTGGGAAATGTGATGGTATTGAAGAGAAAGAGTTGGGCAGAACTTCTCAGGTTAGCTTCTATTGGGTACCAGTCTATGAGTGTATGGTTATAGTAGTGGAGTGTCTGTCCCATAGATGCCAGTGACATTGCCCATACACAATAGGATCTCGATGCATCTACCAATACCATTTCTTGATCTTTTAGTGCGTTTAGCTCAAGAATAACTTATAGCGTTTTTTTTTTTTTCACATAAAGAGATGTTACAGACTCTGGGATGCTCTCTCTTGGAGCCACATTTTCATTCAAGAGAAGAAAGCATTATCAGTTTATATATTCTCTGCATAATATTTCTACATCCAGTAGATATTACAGCATGCTAGAAATTTATCCTACAGCAAGGGATCCTATTATTTAATAGATACCATTTTAAGTGTTTTTTTTTTCCCTTCATAACAATGAAACTCACCTAATTATCTCTCTTAATTATAAGAGGAATTTTTGTTGAATAATTTAATCAAGATCAGTGAATGAGAGATTTCAGTGCTTAAAAGAGGAAATTTAGAGGATTAAGAGAGGATTTCTTTTAGAACACTGAGGAACTTTAAGAGTAGAATGAGAATAAAGACAGATCCCACTTTTGTGTTTGGTGTTGTATCCTGTGAAATGAATTTATTTGTAATAATATAGTCATACTTCTTCCAGTACTTCAAGTATATGATTGATATGTTGGTGATAGACAAAGAAGGTAGCAAACTACAGTATGATTTAAGACTTGTTTTATTTTTACCGCTGAACATTTTTAGTATTTCATTTCATACTTTTGATTTTGGGTTGGGATATTTAATCAATATTGAAGGACTGTGTGTAGTAGCTGTCAGCTATGGGTTCTGAGTAATGTTACTGGCTGTAGGCTCTGAGTTATTTGTGGTGGGATCTGTGGCTTCTGGAGTTGAAGGAGTAACAGGTCCTGTGGCAGATGATTCTGGAGTTTCAGTGGACTCTTCAGTTAAATTTGGGTCAGATTCATTTTCAGAGTGTAAATCACCGCCCTCTTCAGGCACAGTAAGAATTGAATGGGTGGCAGTCGTGACATTGTCCAGAGGAGTGCTTGTATTTGGAAGAGCAGAAGTGGTATCAGTCACAGACGAAGTAGAGCTAAGGGTAGAAGTGTTGGCTTCAGGAGTGGTTGTGGGTTGAATGGCCGCTGTGGTTGTTGTCGTTCCTGTTGTAGTGTCAGTTGCACTGTTTGTGCTCACTGCAGTGGCAGTGGGGCTGGTCATTTCTGGCACAGTTGTGGGTTTGAGGGCTTCTCTAGTGGTTGTAGTTCCTGTTGCTGTGTCAGTTGCACTATTTGTGTTTACTGCTGTGGTTGTTGGGTTAACCACAGAAACAGTTACATCAGTCCCTTTAGTAGTTGTGTCAGTTTTAGCGGTAGTGGTTTCAGTTATGGAAGTAGTTTTAACTGTTGCAGTAGCAGTAGTGTCAGTGATAGCAGTAGTTGTAGTGTCAGTGATAGCAGTAGATGTAGTGTCAATGATAGCAGTAGTTGTAGTGTCAGTGATAGCAGTAGTTGGGTTATCTTGAAGGGTAGTGGTGGCAGTACCAGTTGAGTGTGTGATGCTTTGAGATGCAGTAGGTGAAAGCGTAGTAGCAGGGGTAGTAGCCTCTTTTGCTATAGAGCTGGTTTGAACTGTGGTAGAAGTAATATCATCAGAACTTCCAGTAACTTCATTGGTGGTATGTTTAAAGACAGTAGTTGGTGTTGTGTGTAGTGCAGTTGTTGCTTCTACAGAATTCACAGCTGATTGCTTTCTTGCTTGATGTGGACAAGATAAGGGCTTATGAGATTCAGATGTAAGAGTGTGTAGTTGAGATGAATGAGATTTCTCTGAGCAAGATGTTGGTGGATGATGTTTTAGGATGTGATTCCTTTTCCTTGGTTTGTTTTTGGAATCTTGATGCTGGCTTCCAGCAGAAGAAACTTTTCTTGTTTTACTCTTGGAAACTTTGGATTCTGGACATTTAGATTTAGGAAACAGATGTTTCCTTCCTCTTCTTTGGGAAGATGATGTCTGTGTAAGTGCAGGTTTGGCACCTGGAGTCTTTCGGGTTACTTTCTTTACAGTTGATTTTTCTGTGGCATTAGCAACTGAAGACTTTTTTCCTGTATTACGTAAAGATGGTTTCCACTTGGACATAGACTTGGTACCTTTTGATTGTTTCTTTTTGGGCTTAGCAGTTTTATTTTTTTTAGTGTTAGTCTTGGGGTGAGATGACCTTTTGGAATTAGGTTTGCTTGCTATTGTCAATTTGTATTCAAAGTTGTAGGTTAAGTCCTTTTTGGGAGTTGATTTTGACTGCTGCTTTTGTTTTGCAGTTTTGTTAGCTGGAGGTTGCTTTTTGGTAGAGATAGAACTCTTGGCTGCATTTTGGGAAGACAGTGAGTCCATAGAAGTTGAAGATTTTTTAAATTTAGATGCTACTAATTGGTTTGGTAAAACTGACAGAGATGCTTTTTGTTGAGTCCCAGTAAGTGAAGCCTGGCTTGGTGATTGCTTTGTTGTCTGGTCTGGGGGTTGTTCCAGTTCAGACTCAATATTTCTGACTGTAGGAGGCAAATTTGACTGTGATATTTCTTGTCCTGACTGGTCATGAATTTTAAGACTCTTACTTGTCTGCAAATAAAAAAAATGAACAAGAATTAAATTTGTGTGGCATCAAGTCATATTGTCTCTGCAAATATTTGCTAGTAAAAATAAAACTAATCCATTAATTTTTTTTAGATTACTGCATTGTTTTGATATAGTTTTGTGTAATCTTGTAAACCATGCTTATAAACCAACATCACCTCAATAAAAAAATCAGTACAGCTGAAAATAAAAGTTTTTATTCAGCTTTGATTTCAATTTTTTTCTTACTATTTTTTTGGTCTCCATATATGTACAATCCCCTCACTGTCAAGATCTCAACACCAGAGTGGTTGATTTCTAATAACCAATAACCTACTTTAGCAATCATTACTACTCAAAGTTTCTATCAGAGTTCATGTTAATATTGTACATTCAGTGGATTTCAACAATTGTGTACTGATATGTATCACCATTATAGTATTATATAGTGTAGTTTCACTACAGTAGCAATCTGCTGTCCTCTGGATATTCCTTCTTCCTAACTCCTGACAACCACTGATTTAATTTTTTTCCCAAGAATATGAAAATTATAATAATATAACAGGTAGCCTTTTCAGACTGCTTTCTCCCACTTAGTAATATGTATTTAAGATTTAAGCTACTTTCATTTCCTTTCATGGTTAGTTTGATAAATCCCCCTTTTTATTTTTAACATCAAATAATATTCCATTATGTGTATGTACCAGAGTTTATTATTCAATGCTATGTACGGGTATCTTGGGTGCTTACAAGTGTTATTAGTCATGTATAGATGTCTATACATGCTATAAATGTCTATATATGTGGTTTTGTGTACATGTTAATTTCTTATTGGATATGCATGAAAAGGTATAATAAAGTTCATGTTTAATTCAAATTTATAATAACAAAGTACTCATTATCTTGGTTATATATGCAATGATATTTTACTCTGAGATGTTTTTGTTACATATGACTGATATGAACATCTTTGTCTTTTTCCAAACAAGAAGAAAAATTGATTCTGTGGAGAATACTGAAAACTTACCAAGAAGAATGTAGTAAGGTTCAAGATGACCATATATAAGATGAAGACCTTCATCTTTTCTTCATGAACCCTAGAAAGGGAACAAAAAAGGAGAGAATGCTTAATAGTGTAGTATTGAATATGTCATTCAAATCTATATTAATTTTAGAAAAATTTGGCTATTAAGAATTATCAGTGAGTAACACATTCTATTAATAATCTGGCTGTTATCCAAGTGCTTTCTGTAGACTTTATAAAGGCGTAATAATATGAGTGTAATTTTTAACAACTATAAAAAGTTCAAAATTCTTTAAATTTAATTATAAAACCATTGTTTGAGTAGAAATTGTATATAGAAGTTTTTAGTTTAAAAATTTTAATCATGCTTTTAGGATATTAAAGCCATAGAGACCTAGCAGGTTTGAAGCACACACTTAAATCAACAGGCTGTGCCATAAGAAAAATGAAGCATTACTATATTGACAGTATTTACTCAGTTAAAGCCAGGTTACTTTATGTTTTTTTATTAAATCATATTTTATCAAAGACAGGTATTCAGCTATAGAACTTAGGTAATTGACAAGAACATCCCATGATTATACCACAGAGTGTGCAAGCGAGTAATACTTAAACTTCTCAGTAGTTATAAGCAAGTGCCGTCATTAATTATCATAATAGAATAAAAAAACATGTTCACTTTGTCAAGACCATCAAATCAATTCAGTTACTAAGTTATTTGTTTATTACAGTTATGTCTAAACTGTTGAAATCCCAGAATTTAACAGAAAATTTTATGTTCTAAACTCTTGTTTGTCTAGATACCTTAGAAGGGTGTTTCTCCTCTGTTCTGGTCAGATTTTATCTTCTGTTAACCAAGCCGACTTTTCTGCAGTAGTTGTCTCCAAATGAAAATCAGTGAATACTCTTAGAATAAATAAGCCCTTTATTCCTAGATGTCCCTCCTACTTATTTCCTATTGGGGAGAAAATGACAAAGATTTTAATATGGTTACCTTTGGCAAGAGTTAATACTAACTAAAGGAAAGTAGTCTGTGAGTAAAAGTACGTGTTTGTATGAATTCTTATGGAAATACTATGTTTTCATTATTCAGTCTTCACTAAAGGAAAAGGAACATTTTATTATAAGATTTTTTTATTGCATGTACTATTATTTGAAAATAGTTTAAAAATTACTGTATTTGATGACATGTGGTACATGAAGTTTTTATTCTTTATAGTTCTTGTCTTAGCCATTCCAGCAATGGTTGTCAGCATTTCATGATGAATGACTCAAAAGAATACTTTTTAATCATGGCAAACAATTCATTAATGCCATATATGAGTTTCATAGTGATGCTTTGTGTTTAATCTTATCTTCAAGAGGTTTGGGTTTTCTCAAACTATTCCTATAAAATGGACACATAAAAAGAAAACACTTGATCTTTCAAGTCTTTATATTCATCAACCTGACTACTCCTTTATTATAGCCTTCATTCAAACAATATGAGTATCTGGCAACAATACCCATGCTATTGTTTATTCAAACAATATGGCTATCTGTAGTGTACCACATTAGGAAGACTAGGAAGAGGACATTCTATAATCTCCTTTTAAGTCTTATACTAGAGTTAAGATAATATGTAATATTGATACAGCAATTTGGTTATCATTCTGACATTCAATGTTCTTTCCTTGAAAATTGAAATTAAATTATAAAAATATTGTCATTACACTTTTTTTTGTGACTGTGATTGACATTATGTTATGCAATAATTTTCTTTTGAGTTTATATTACTGACATTTATAGTTTGATTCATGATCACTAATGAACTACAAAGGCCAATATTTATTTCCCTTGGATTTTAGTAAGAAAAGCTCAGATAATTTAATCTTACTAATAGCAATGTCAGTTTTAATCATTACCAACCCACTTATTCCTTAACACTCTCATTTACTTAACAAACATCTCACTGTAGGGGCAGTGGTGGGCAGAATGTAGTTTCTATTTTTATAGCTAAGCAGAAGTGGGCTGGCAGATACAACAAAATTTGATGAATTCTAAATGGGGAATGAATTATTGGGAACAGGATGCTATGGTAGCACATCAGTGGAGTGATCGACCTTAAAAGTTCAAGAAAAGTTATCTTAAGGATATGATTTCCAAGTGAAGGAATCAAATTTTCATTATTTATGATATAAACAATTAAAAGGATTTGAAAACTTTCAGAAAAATGATGGTGGTGGTGCAGTTAGAGTAATCACAGGTGTTTTTGTATTACTAGGGTGTATGTTGTGAAAATTTAATATGGAGAGATAAGTTGTAAGTTCAGTACTAACAAGATCATTGAAGTTTACCTTGTAGACAGTAAATGCCTTTGGAAATGTTAACTTAGGGAATTTAGAGAGAGAGGAATGAACATTTATTGACTGTCCAGTTAATATAAGGTACTTTAATGAATATCTCAGAAGGTTTTATGTTTTAGTTGTAAAGTAATGAAGGTGGATGGATTAAATTGCTAGAATTCAAAACTAAACTCTACCACTAGTAGCTTTTTGACCATGCACAAATTACTTAATTTTTCTTAGCCTCAGTTTCCTAATTTATATATACTTACCATAATGTGCCCATCTGAGTATTATGTGGTATTATGTTAATTCTTTTAATATTCTTGCTATAGCACCTGATAGAAAATATTAGTTTCTGTTCAATTTATTACCCCAAATCACACAGTAACATAATGTCTGCTAAAAATTTAATTCTATCTAAAGCTCATATATTTTATGTTTAGTAATTTTCATCTATGCAAAATTAGGATCAAAACCAAATTATTTCAAGAGATTATTTGTAAAGATTACAGGTTGATATTTGTGAAAGTTATTTATGCATATTAAAGTGACATAGAAAGCTTATTGTTCAATCATTATCTCTGTATTTTGGAAAATCTGACAACTTTTAGATAGCTGTTTGCAGGATTACATAATAAAATTTGTTTTCTAAATTCATTAGATTATGAAGTCCAAGAGGTGGAAAGGAAACATGTTGTATCCACATAGCAGGCATTTGGTAAATCTTGATGAATAAATGTTTATGTATAAATCTACAGCTCAGATTTCTTTTATTTGCTGAAGACACAGTTTCTCATTAGGCACAAACCACCTTCATTATATGAACCATTGCATTGGAAACCAATTTATTCAAACCCAAAATAGTCTAACATGGGCTTTAAAGCAAATCAGTGTATTTTCTTAACATGTAAATTGTAGTTGAAGGGTTTACTGTACAATATGAGGTACATAAAATAGTCCAACTAGTTAGTCCAATTGTTATAAGGATTTTCAGGGAGGTAAAATAACTTGTACTATTAATTTTATTTAGTTGGGCATATTATATCAATTTAAGGTAACATTAGTACTTAAGATTACTTGTTTCAGGGTATTTTGCTTCAGATTTTATTTTACTTATTAGACTGGAAATGCTGCTATAGTAACTTATACATGATTAATAACATGGGCTTTAAAGCAAAACTATGTGAATTCAAATACCATCTCTACTTAGGGAAAATTAGTTCATTTCTATTAACAATTGCAACAAATGTATGTAGTTCATGAGTAAATATTAAATGAATAGATACATGTCAACAAATGGAAGTCTGGCTGGTCTATATAGCGTGTACTCTGACTGGTTATCCTAATTAAATGTTACTACTATTTTGTATTCTATATTGTCTTCTCATACTTTATATAAGGGAGGTGATTTTTTTTCAACAGATGAAATTCTAGTTTTCCATTTTAATTTTGTTTCTGAAGAGAGTAATGTACTAGTGGTCATAGCAAATTACGGTTGGCCATGCCATGCACCTGACCACAGTTTACTTCTAGAGTTTAGCATTTATGTGAGAGAACATTTGGTAGTCTGTAACAAGTACTAATATTATGAGATCTATTAAGGGTTTCTGCAAAAGATTAGATGGGGCTTGTAAGAGTTGAGTCTTTTTTTTTCTCTTGGCATGGTATGTTAAATGTAGAACAAATTTATAAATGACCCACTCGTTTTCCTTATAATAGTTAAAGGAAAAGTGGTCACCTATTTTTGTAGACTGGAAGTCATCAATTCTAGAATTTTCCCAAAGTATGTGTGTGTTTACATGTGTATGTGTATATGTACAGATGTGAGAATATAGCTTCTATTCTGGAAGAAACTCATTACTCTGGTCAAGGTCTGAGATAACTCCTGTTATTTTGTCATATATCTGTCACTAAACCTGTGGTCCTGTGTAGTCTGCTTGGCACCATACTTTCCTTTTGGGAATGATCAACACTAAAATTCACATTACATTTGAGCACTTAAATTTCATCTTTCTTTAAAGTTCCCATGTGGCTCCCAAGAATCACCATGTGGTCCTTTGAAATGGAATACTGTGGCGTAGTTCCCCTTTGGCCTCAGAGAATTAACTATAAATTCAGTTGTTCCAGTGTCATCTTGGAGAAAATGTCTTAATCTTAGTGTAAGAATCCCTTTTAGAATCAGAGGAAACTATGGCATTTGTTCCCAGATAAGCTAATATACTCAAACTCATACAAAATTTGCCTTCAAAGATCCTTGAGTATATCCATGGACTCTTATCAAAAGTTAAGAGATTCATTTGCTTTCATTGGTTTTATTGTGTAAGAACCAAAGACTTAAATAGGGCATGAATTTAGAGAGAAAAGAGAAAGGAGCCAAATTCTTGAAAATCAGAGCAGACAGGTGACCAAAGGAGAGCTTGAAGTAGTCATTTGGGTTCAGTATGACCTAAAAAAATAAAAAAAGAAAGAAAAAAATAAATTTAGGAATTTAGTTCATAGTGTGTTAACAGTCTGTCATGATACTTTATAGAGGCTTTAACTTAGAAATTTAGGTGCATGAGTTTTGAATGAATGTAATGATTAAAATAATGGTAATTCTAATAAACATGCTATATAATAATTATTTTGAAGTACTAAAATAATGTAACTACTTACTAAATTACTTTGATGTTTTTCTCAACACACCAAAAGTTTCTGTGTATCAAGATAGCAATATAATCTCTTATATGTAGATAACATAGGAATACACTGAGATAATTATGAAAGGTATGGACATTTGTTAAGGACTTGAAATACTATAAAAGTTTTTTTTTTAAAAATATATTTCAAATGCATTATGCTTTACAGATTGATTATTTTGTATAATTCTTTTACAATGTACATTACCACTTCAGCTTCATGACAACCAAAACAATGAGGAATTCAGAGTTCAGAGTGAGTAATGACTTGCCTAAGTTCATACAGATGGTAGAAGCAATTTTCTAATGGTATAGCTATTATATCACAAATAACTATGCTATATTTTAGATCATAACAATGTGTAGACAGTGAGATACAGTAAAAATATAGAATGTGAACTAATTGTTTCAGACTCTCAAATATTTTTAACTTGTTCCCCAAATTATTTGATACTCTTATCATTTTCTTTTTTATTACATATGCTCTTTATTTAACCTCTTCCTACAAAGTATGAAGTTATTTAAAACTGTCATTTTCTACTGACAATAAACAGAAACATTTTGCACAATACTTAAGATTCCTATTAAAATATATATGCTTTTAAGATTCCCATTAAAATATATATGCTTTTCAAGTCATGACAAAATTCTTTCACAGGTTTATCTTAGAGAAATATGTAAGTCTTAGCTTCATGGTCCTTTCAAAAAAAAATGATGTCTGAAATAAATGAGTATGTAAGAAACTTGTAAATTTCTTTTATTCTGTTCATTCCAAAGTTAAGAGTGCAGCACTGTTAAATGATTTAAATGTATTTAAAATAACTTTCTATGAAAATTATTTTAAGAAAACTCATTCTTGGGATAAGAAACACTATGCAATTTGAACATAATCTTTTGTCCTTGTGTGTGAAATGGGAATGAAATATAACTCATAGATTCTAAGTGTTCCAATTGCTGAAAAAGTTTGTTAGTAAAATATCCATTATTTATTTATTTTGTAAAGTTAAAATTGTCTTTCATTTTGGAATGGAATCTAGAGTATTTGTGCTAAAACACTACCAATCAAATTATAGTTAGTCCATTTGACTGCTCACATTTTGCCTGCTCCATTTATATGTTTTAGAGCTTCTGATGTATTGATAAATCCATGGGATGTTGGCTTATTATTCATTATGTCTTTTTGCTCATTTACCTGTGTTATCTTCTTTGACGCTTCCTTGGAGCTTTTAGACCATAGGCGTAGTGACTGGGGCTGTGGTAGTCTCAATTGTGCTGGTGATGATAGACTCTGAGGAAGTTTCTGGAGTGATGACCATTTTCACTGTTGGGTCAATGGTAGGAGGAAGTGTAGGCTCAACAGTAGCCATGGTGTTGACAGTAGGGACAACTGTTTTTTCCTGAGTTTTCTTTGGGGAAACGGTAATAATTGGTGGGTATACGAAGGGATGATGTGCTGTAGTATGTTGGTGACCAATTGGCTGGACTTGCCATTGGTGAATTTGGGTATGTGGCTTAACTGCAACTGGTATTGCATATAGGAAAGGCATATATTGATTATTAATTGGTGCAGCTGGTCTATATTGATAGTAAGGATGGCTAGACAGCACAGAGTGAATTGGAATATATTGGATTGTTTTCTTATTGATAAATCTTTCATCATTCTCATGGCACTGTAAAAGAATAAATCATACAGAGTGGTATTATTGTAGGCTGTAGTGTGGAGATAGCTGAGAATTATTGAAATATTGTCGTAGTGTTTGATGTTTAGTAAGTATAGTACTGTAAGTAGTGGCACTGACAACCATATTACTTCTTGATTTTTAACAAATATTAAAAGTAATACTAGATTTTGATAAATTAAAGGCATAATACATAATATAAGCCACATTACCCTAAGCTTGGCATATAATGAAAGAACTTAGTAATTAATGAGTAATTAGTGATCTACAGATTAGGCTAAGGTCATATTAAAAAAAAAAGTAGTAAAATAACGGGACATGGAAGGATTCCTGCATTTATACTTTGAGTTTTTTTCAGCTTAATTTTATCCATTAAAGATCAGTTAGAGAATTTTCTTTTTTTATTTACATTTGTTTAATTATGTGCAATTATTTTAAAATAAACTACCCTCCCATTGGGTATTTCCATACGAATAGAAACATACCAACAAAATTATACCACAAAGCAAGGATTATTCATGAAGGGAGACTTATTTAAATGTATTTATTCAAACAAAGTAAATACAAGTGTCTGAGAAGTATTCAAAGACAGATTTGAGAGGGATCTTGACCCAAGTCATAAAAAGTCAACAGAAATATTAAGTTTTAACCTTGTTTTTACTTATTCTCATATTCTGAGAAAGTTCTGATATATTGCTGAATACACACAAAAATAAAAAGCAGATGACTTGAACTATAAAACCAAGAATTTCAAAATGAACATAGAAGTTAATACTATTGGCTGTTGCAGTAAATTTTTTTCATATTATTTTATGGAGTTAAAAATTTGTCTGTAGACATGAGACATTTTATTATCATTGGAGTTTACAGAAAATATTCTTTGGAGTTGGTTTTTCTGATAAAAATAAACTTACTGTTAGTTGTTCCTGGTTCTGCACCTCTGCACCCTGGTGGGTTTTAGGAAAGAGCAAGAAATAAGTTAAAGGACAAAAGAAAGCAGGTTCTAGATTTTCTTTTTATTTCAAAATCATTTGTATTAATGCCAAAACATGTTTTCTTTGTTTTTAATATCATAAAGCATTTTTCATAGTTGTTTAATCTCTAAAGCTGGTAAAACATGCTAATTGAATAGTAATAATGAACTCATGGCTAAATTACCTTTAAAAATCACTATCTACAGAGAAAAATTCAAGGTGGACTCAAGGCTGAAAAAACATTATCATCTCACTTATGTGCCAATAAATATACATTGGCTTTGCTTGATGAAAAATATGAGTAATCTGTATTCAGTTTGTATTACATGTACTTCATTAAAAATAAGAGAAGTGTTTAGCATGTTTTTCTTTTTTTTTTGGCTTTCCTACTAAAAAGATATATGAGATTTCTTTATATTTAAAATATTTTCTTTAGCATAGTATCAGTATATAAACTATGTAAATAACTGTTTTAAATCAATTTTCATTTGTTTTATAATGTGTTTCTTAATTATGAATTTCATCAACAGTAAATTAGGAGTGAGAAAATAATTACCTTCGACATGTATTTGTAAAGTTTTAAAAAAATACACATTTATATAGCGTTTAAGTGCAATATTATTTGAATTAAAAACTCTCAAAGGTTTTATAAATGTTTGAGATGAAGTAATAATATTACATGTCTTTAAAGTGATAGTTCTAATTTAATACTTTGCATATATACCATGCAGAAATGACTCTACAGACCTTTAGAAAGTGTAGTTATAAAAAATAAATCAGGAATTTGTTACAGTGGTGATATGAAAGATGTACTGAGATATAAGAGACTGGATCAAGAACATGTGGTATATATACACAGAATACTACTCAGCAATAAAAATGATGAAGTTGTGCCATTTGCCCAATATGGGTAGAGCTAGAAAGGATCATGTTCATTGATAAGCCAGAAGAAAAAGAAAAATATAGAATGGTTTTCTTATAGGAGGAACATAGGAAAACCAACTAAGGGATCAAGAGGAAAAAAGTAACAACAACAAAAAAGCTGGCAGGAAACCATAAATAAGAGACATCCTGCAGGGGAGGGAAGGAATAGGTCAAATAGGGAAGTAAAGAGCACAGAGGACTATGGTGAAGGTTCACTGATGAACTGGTGAATTTTATGGGGAATACACAATGATGTAAAAATAAAAATATAAAATATATATTAAACAACAAACTTAAAAGTAATTTGATCATTACAGAGAAGTTTGTTTACTCTTAAAAGTTCTGAAAGTTGGGTCTTGGTGGTGCAAGGGATTAAGACAGAGCACTATGACGCCTTCACAGCCACTGCAGCTTGGGTTCAATCCCTAGACCTGGGATTAGCCCACATGGCACAGCAGACCTCTTCTGTCTTGCTCCCTGCTCCCTCAGCAGTGTATTTCAGTCAGTCTGCCTGGCCTGCTCTCCACTCTGACTCTGGTGAATCCTTTCATCTGGCTTGTTCCCAGTTCTTTTATGCATAAATTACTCTTTTTTAAAAAGTTCTGAAAATTTAAACACTTTAGTGTCAACACTTATATTGTATATTCTGAGGCAGTGTTTTAGTATTTTTAATTTCAAGAAGTGTGATTTCTCATTTTTCTATTACCTGTTTTCATATTTTTAGTTGAAAATGAATGATCAGTCATATTGTGAAATGTTTGTTCTTTATGCTGTTGTACATTATTTAGGCCTTCTTTCAAGGTTTCATTATAAATAGATGTATAATATCTATATATTATATTTTAAAAATAATATATTTCCTAATAGTTTTTTTTTAAAATGTGATTGGGGGCAAAAATTCTTTGATAGGAATGATTAAAGTATCTGTACAGAAAAGTTAAGCCAGCTTGCAAAGCCACCAATAAGCTATATGATTGTGTAGCTCATTACATAATTGTTAGTGACAAATACTAGTGTAGTTATTTTTATTTGGGAGATAAGTGGTACATTAATACATAGGAGATTCTATCATATTTCAGTTTTAATTTGCATAAATTTTACTACTCATACAACGGTATGAGAAAGTCTATGAAGTTTCATTTTTCTTTTGAGTTATTTATGTTCCTAGGGATTAAAGCTTTTGAGAAATGGGAAGGAATGTTTGGTGGATATGGGGCTTTCAGGTAGCTCAAGAAGGTGCTATACAGCAGGCAGCTGTGGATTGTTTACTGACTTAAACTTTAATTCTTATCATTCAAAAACAAAAACCAAGGTCTGAATGTATAGGTGTCCACAAAAAAATGGAATTTAAAGAGCAAATGAGAAGGTAAATATAAAAGCTATAATAATTCTGATTGTTGGAAAGTAATTTACTCCCAGGAATTTGTCTAATAAAATAATTTATTGGGTACTAACTTAAAAGCGACTTACTTAATAATAAATGAAATCTGAACTGCACACTGTTGCTGTCAAAATTTAGCCATCTAAAAAGCAGTCACACAATTTTGCTTGCTTTACATTTTTGCTGTTGAGAATTAATTGCCTGGACTCCCCAAATGAACATGGAAATACAAAAGAGCAAAATAGCCAGATCACCAACAAAGCAAGTTAAATTAAAGAACAAGTTTTTTCTTTTTTTTCTTTTTTTTGTCTGATAGTCTTACGACTTAATAGAAAAGGCCCAAAAGCCATACAACTGTTGTGAATGTTGTTCTAGGGAGGGGTCAGTGAGTTGACATAATGCAAAGAGTGCTCAAAGATACTATAATATACATATGCCACTGTGTTTTAAACTGGTGAAAAAGCTTGATTAATCAAGCTTCTGATATTTTAAGGCTTTAATACCTAAAGAAATGGAGTCTGCATAAAATAGGAATTTAATTTAAAATATTTTCAGTATTGATTTTTTCTCAGTTTATTTTTACCTGTCATATGAGAATTTAAATATTTTCTATATATGATAAGTATGATTTCTTAATTCCTGGGAACAACAACAAAAATACCAGAAGAAGATGGCTTTAAATTTATGATAAATATAAAAAAATTACTTTAAAAAATATAGTTAATATGCAGCTATTTTGTTCTAATTTGCATAATTAGACCTTTTAAAGAAAATGCTCTTGAAATCATAATGCAATGCTGACTAGAAAATTAAACTTACCAAGAAAGGCAGGGTTATTGCGAGGATATTCAAAACTAGGAAAATCCTCTTCATTATTGCACCTAAAAATAAAGATTAACAATAAATTAAAAGAACCTATTTATGAACAATTTATAAGTGATTTAGAAAGTGAAGCAGTGTAAAAACCTACAAATTTTTGTAAAATCAAGCAGAGTAAAAAAAATTTTAAATTTAACTTTTAGTGATACTTTTGAAAGGATCATTACAAGGGTGATAATCTATTCATTCAACAGATATCAAGAACATAAGCACATACAAAGTATTGGTAAATTGTTCTTGCCAACAAACAGCATCAATTTTTTTTGTTTGTTTAAGATTTATTTATTTATGCATACAGAGCTGTGGTACAAGCCAGAGATGCAGGGCAGTGAGAGGATTCACCAGAGACAGAGTGTGGAGTAATAGAGGCAGATCGACGAGGTATACTGCTGAGGGGATCAGCGGGCGGGTCTGGAGAGGTCTGCCGCGCCATGTGGATCACCTTAGGGCTGAGGATTGAACTTGCACTCAAGTGGTTGCAGCTAGCTTGCAGTGCTGAGTCATAACCCGTTGTGCCACCAGGGAGGGCCCAAACAGCATCAATTTTAAAAAGTTATGACACACACAACTTACTGTAAAAGGAAAGAAAGTGGAAAGTGCTACAAAAAGGATTTTCTGCAGAGGGATTTCAGTTAAGAGAATCAACAAATTTCTTTGTGTAGATAATTCACAGGTGGGACTTGCTAGTGCAGAAAGTAAGAGAGAGAAACTTCAAGTGGAGATGAAGAACTTGGAGATATTCATGAACATTTTGAATAGTGTTTTATGACAAGTGGTTGATATAGTTGGAAAGAAAGTTTAGGGCAGAAAAGAAGAATGCTAAATTAAAGAGTTAAGCATGGTTTTTTAAATAGGAAAAAGCACTTGGATCTGGCAAAGGACTGATGTCCAAATATATAAATATATAAAGACTGATGTCTTTCAACAGAAAGAAAACAACCCAATCAAAAATGAACAGAAGAGCTAAATAGACACTTCTCCAAAGAAGAGGTTTAGATGGCCAAAAGACATATTAAAAAAATACTCATTTATGGAAAAAGGCACAAAATGATGTAAAAATAAACTATTACATTATTAAAAAATGCTCATCATTTATCAGGGAAATACAAATCAAAAACAAAATAAAATACTATCTTATACTCATTAGGAATGGCACATATCAAAAAGACCAGAAACAGTTATTGTCGGCCAGGATCTGGAGCATTGGGACCATCTTAATACTGTTGGTGGGGATATAGACTGCTATAGCCCTCTACAGAAAACAGTATGGATGCTTCCAAAATACTGAAAAATAGATCCATCATATGATCCAACAACTTCACTCCTAAGTATGTACCAAATGAATGCAGAAACATTAATTCGAAGGGAAACAAAAACACATTCCTGTTCATTGCAGTCCTAGTTACAACAGCCAAATTATGGAAACAAATTAAGTGGCCAAAGACAGTGGATCAGAAAAATGTGTTATTTGTAATGGAATACTACTCAGCTATAAAAAGATGAACTCTTGACATTTGTGGTGACATGGAAGGAATTGGAGAGGATAATGCTAAATGAAGTAAGTCAGAAGAAAAAAAGACAAATATCAGATGATTTCACTTATATGTGCAATATAGAGAAAAAAAGGATCAGAGAAAACCTTACCAATAACAAAACCTTCACATTGAGTGCAAAAGCAGAGTAACAGAAGATGAGGCAGGTGTCACTGTGGGATTCAGGCCAAGGCAGGGGGCTGAATGGTGCTTGGTAGAGGATTTATGGGGCTTTGGAGGTACAAATGGTATAAGCACATGCATGTATATAGTTTTGAACCTATAACCTCCAAAATGAATGCAATAATGTAAATCAAATTTACTTCAAGACATATAATTGGAAAACAATAAAAATCAAGTGAAGAGCTAAAAAAAAATTGAAAGGTTTTGGACTAGATGTGATACATACTCCTTTGGAGGACTGAGTTTTAGTCTGGATCTTAAGGTTACTTGTGTGATTGAGTAATTGTTATGCATGACCCTTACCTTTATTACCTATAAAATGAAGGTCTGAGCTCAGTGACTTCTAAAATTTCTATAATTTCAAGCTTAGTCTGTCAGGAACATATAGAATGGAAGGATGTGTCCTGAAATTGTTTCTCTGGTCATCAGAAATTACATGATTAACCATTGTTTCAATAAAAAATATAAATCTTAACAATGATAGTGATGTTAAGATATTTAAAAGATAAATTATCCTTATCTTTCTAAGCAGCTAGCCTGCTGTCATATTAGCTAATTAGATTATTTTGTAATACATTATCTTTTTGTGAAGACATGTAACACTTCAAAATTTTAATATTTAAATATGTATTTGTAAATAATAACTGCAATTGTTGCAGTCATTATTATTGACACTTATATATAACTTTGATTTCTACAACTGAGTTTTACAAAGAGGGCCACAAAGTTAAAGTTCTAGGGGAGCATATCAAACTTCATTTGCTTTGTATTCTCAGGTAATAATGACTAGGAAGGCTGACTTCAGTACTGCTGATAAAATATCATTGGATGGCAAAAACTTACATGTACTGGAATTTGAACAATGTTCAGCAAACTCAAGGTTCATTAAGGGGAATAAAATTTCTTATTTGCTTTTGTAGTTATCTTTCATTGAAATATTTGATATGTAACATTGTATAAATTTAAGGTATACATGTTGATTTGATAACTAAATAACATAATTGCCATTTTTTTATAATTGCCATTTTAGTGATAATTAGTTCTTATGTCATATAATTATTATTTCTTTTTTATGGTTAGAATATGTAATATCTAACCTCTTAGCAAATTTGATGATTGTAATATAGTATAGTGAATATAGACAACACTGATTTGGATAAAATCATGAGTTAGCTTTTAAGATTATAGACAGATCATTTATTTCTGTGGTGAATTCCAGACTCCTTCTCAGTTCACATAAAATAATAAATACATATACATTCTGTAAAATGATAGTATAGTAACTTTCTCATTTTAATATAAACAAAACCAGAGAGATGAGACTGTATACTTATGAGTTACTTAACCAATGAATAGTTGCATTTGACTCCACCACTTAATAAGACAGACATAATTTTGTGAAACAGTAGAGTTAACTTCTCATGATTATATGAAATACATGTTTCAAAACAGTAGTTCTACTATAAGAACATTATGATCCCTATCTAGGAATTAAATTTCAACTTAGGGATCAGTCTGAATTATTAACTACACGTTCATCTATCTGAGAATTCTACAATTGTCTATTGGAATCAGTTCCTTGTCTTTAACACCTTATTTGGAATCTGTATTTTTAATAGTTAATATAAAACCTTGATTTTGGGGCCCTCCCTGGTGGTGCAGCGGGTTAAAGTACAGTACTAAGAAGCTTAAGCCACTTCCACATGAGTTCGATCCCCCCTTCCCCGGAGGAGATCCACTTGGCGTGGCAGACCTCTCCTGACCCACCCATTGCTCCCCTCAGCAGTGTACTTTCTTGATCAGCCTGTTCTGCTCCCCTCTCTGTCTTTGGTGAATCCTCTCTCCCTCCGCATCTCTGGCTTGTACCCCAGCCCTATATGAATAAATAAATCTTAAAAAAAAAAAAAAAACCTTGATTTTAACCTAAAAGAAAGTTAAAATTGAATTAATTAGAACATCATCCCATTTAAGGCTTATGTTAAAAACTATTATTAAAATGATGCCAAGACATACTAAGGCTTAGCAATGAAAAATAAAAGGAAGAAAAGGTGCTTCGAAAATACATTGGTTGTATTATTACTAACTACTGTGAAAAAGAATTATTCTCTCTAATATTTCAGTATAATTACCTTTCCTTGTGCCTGTGAGGTCTTGCTTGGCAGTAGGCTGACTTGGCCTTTCAACTGTAGAGAAGACCCAGGGTAAATAACTGCAGACTAATTAAAGGATATTAATGCATTGTGTCACATGATTTATTTTCCTTCTTTGTTTTACCCAATAAGAAGACGACAAAAAGGAAAGATTTGACGATAGCAGGGTCATCTTTGGTTCAATCTTAGTTAATGAAATGAAGAGAGGGAGATAAAGATAGGGCTGTTAGTCTTAAAATGTGAAAAAAAGACTATTCATGCCTTTTAAAGAGTGAATTTTTATGTTTTTATACAGACCCACCTATTTGTATTTAAAATTATTGTTAAAATAAAAAAAAACACTAAAAACACTTCTATGTTTTCATTGAAGTAACCCAGGTTTATAACACTGTACATGATTTAGTATAGGTTCATGCTCATTGGTATAGGTTATCATACCACACCCACCGATAAGACACAAAAAGCCTGTCATTATAGTCTCTATGCCCCCTACCTACTTTTCTCTCCCCCTTTTATACTTCTCTGGAAGTCTCAATTCTACAGTTGCATCTGTAAGATTTATTATTGGTTTGGGGTCACTTTTAAATGATTTTTGTATTTTAAGAATCTATATATCAAGTGACCTTGTCTTATAAGTTACAGTTGGTCGGCTTTCACAATTATAAGTTTTGATTTTTTAATTAGAAAACTGATGATTTCTTAGATACTCAGGAGTAACTTTTTGTAAGCTAAACATGCAATATATAATATTAATATGTAGTAGGGAGACTACATATTTGCGTTTGAGTTGCAAATATATTTTTTCAGTAAGGTCATGCTATAAGTACTAGATACATACTTGTTCATTGACTAATGTCTTATGAATCAAAGGGTGTTTTAGCTTTTTAAGATATAGTCATACATGTGAAAAATTCTGACTATACAAAATTATTGAAAGGGGGATCCTTTTTTTTAAGAGCATCTTATTGAGAATATATATA